ATGTCTTATAGCGTCTTTTGCTGTACAACGCGTATGCCACTAAGGCCATGTGTGATGCTGGGTTCGATATATTGGATGTTTTTCCTCTGACTGACTCGTACGTTAATGGTACTGGTCTACCGCACAAACCATTCGATGCAGTACACTATCCCATACAGACTTATACATCAATAGTAGAACTACTTGAGAGATACTTCCATATCACATAAATTAACAACAAGCCATGGTAAAGCAAGTCAAAAACCGGAAGGGAAAACAAGGGAAGAGTTATTTATTGACGAAATGAAAGAAAAAAAACATTTTGTCCTGGAAATAATCAGACAAGGACAGTTAAGCAAAGAGTTTTACCACAACAAACTACTTTTCAAATATTCTATTTCTTTTCTACTCTGTACATAAGAATCTTTTGTAAATAATGATGTAAATAAAATAAAAATCTTTTAATGACATTGTTTTSTTAAGATATTTCAAAACACACCCATGCTCGAAACACCTGTTGTCCAGGGAGCGCTGGTTGTACTAAGTGTGATTAGGGCTAACGACAGGTTAAAATCACAAGRAATCGTATTACAAAACCAAATACAGCGAATGGTTTTTATTCGATCAACATCATTAAACACCATTCAAAAACTGAGAATCCAGTGTAATTACTCCTTTAATGGCTGGAAACAGAATACCTAAATACCAATGYAAGTGACCAGTAAAAGTGTCCAGTAAAAGTGACCAGTAAAAGTGACCAGTTAATGTGATAAGAATAACAGGATTAGTCATATTGCTAGATCATTCATAGTACACTAAAACTAATCATTGCCATTAGTTACCGTACATAACATATGATTACAGTCTACGAGACAATAAAATGCACTAAGGAGAACTAGTGTTTAAGCTCACGGTAGAAAAGTCGCCATATGTTAGAGCGTCTTTGAATTGAATGAGGTTTCTTCAAATAATCATCAAAGGACAAAGACCATTGCTAAAATGGTCATTAGGGAGTGACCCATTTGAAATATCTACATTATTGTAACTGAAGACTATTGGGTCCCATCTGTTCAAGACGTACGATTGCCCGSGCAAACCTTGGGATAACCTATGAAGTTAACCAGGGATTGGCACTTTAAACTTCTTGTCCYGGAGGAGGAAATGACATAGTGCTAYTGTGCTTCAAAAAGTGACTAAAATAAACAAACTTATCATCCATCGCTTGAGAAACATCAATAGACAATCGTTGATGTCCAGTTCATGATCGCAATAAATCAATAAAGCAATAAAGCAATAAATCACATGGTTTAATTGCAGTCTATAGTTTCCTTCCAAGCGTAAAAACCCGTTTTTGTTACAAAAAGAAAATGGAAAATAATTATATACGAGTAATGAGCAGGTAATTTCACTAAGTATCAGTCACTAAGCTGGGACAATAGGAACGCATGGGACTAACGTATCATTAGCCTTTTCACAGTAACAATGAATTATTACTCTAAAGACGTCTTTATTCAGGGTCCAGTGAAAAACGTGCCAAGAATTTCCTTCAGATCCTGGTAATTCTCACAAATTTTAACCCAAAAATAAATCGTTTTTTTAATATTTCACAAAGACAACAACAGCTTAATGTTAAGAATATAGCAAGGAGTATTCCCGCGTCGAGGAATCCAAGTCTTCACCATGTGAGCGGTTCTCACAGAATTCAACACAATCCGGCACGGTTAAAAAAGACTCTACAAACATTTTTTTTACTGCGCAAGAGAAATGAGAATAAATGATCGTGCATTATCATTATTATTAATCGTTTATTGGTTTATAGAAAGACTACCGATACTGTAATGAAAATGACTTCATTCATACCAAGCGGTGCGTTTCGCAGTGAGCAAGTACTAATTCTATAAATATCAAAGCGTTATTATTTCTACCTAGTAATGATATCTGTACAATAACACCAATGTGATGGACGACACTTATCTAACATCGAGTACCTTAAAACACATTATGGTCTACTAAGTGCCGCTCAGGGGAAAGTATAAAGACTCCAGGAATTACCACTCATAATGTACGCCGTTTTGTCTTGCTAATGTGCGACGATTGCCATAACAGMCCCCCTTGTTCGAACGCGTAATTTTCTGTTCGCTTTAAGGCCGTGGTAAGACTGTCGTAACAGTCTACCGTCCAAGCGTTTCTATAGTTATGAAATCACGTTACAAATTGTCCCAATATATAAAGTGTTATTTGGATAATCGTTTTTAATTTTATCTAGCATTATCATTATTTTATCATCGTTTTTTTATCATAACTGAAATGAAAAGGAGTTTACCATGAGTGGTTAGGGCAAAGTATATATCAGAATCGATCGTGAGGTTTGACTCAAGTATCAATCTCTACTATACTGGACATCAAKGTAGAGGAAATGGTCCCATATYACAGTAAATTCTTTCTGTCAATATCAGGGCATCRCACGAGCCAATAGCATACACAAGTCATTATAGCTGTTAACAGCACATCAACACTAGAAACAAACAAACAAACACAACTTATCTAATGGACCGAAGCAATGATTGTTAGCAACTAACAGCAAAATAGCAAATATTTATTAACCGTAAGAGAGCGAGTAATTGCTAGTAATCACAGTGAATATTGAATTAGTGATCARCTGACAGTGAATAGTACTAGTTGGACAGGGAGTGGTTACCGAGACCACAGTCTTTGTCCAACACAATAGAAACCCATTCAGTCAAATCATCTTTGAACAACCTTCTTGCATGCTCTAGAGCAACGCTGGCTTGCCTATTCAATAAAAACAATGAAGTCTTAATGGGACGTTCTATTGACCAGTAACAATACATACTAACATATAATATTTGCGTTCCGTTGTGTGAACGCATTCAGATAGACTTATCGTGGTTACAGTAACTCAGTCGATAACTGTAAGGCTAATCTTATCAAAACATGATACAATCAAAAGACCAAATCGTCAATCCTACTCAGAACGATAAAGTAGAGAGTCAAGAAACTAAGAACGCAGAGAAAGAAGTCCACAAAACTATTGAAGAGCACAAAGACCAAGTGAGCAAGAATGTTGAAAGCTGTAAACAACAAGACGAGAAACCTGCGTACTCGTATAAYGCATTGATCATGATGGCGATCCGAGGATCAGAGGAAAAGCGTTTAACATTGAGTGGTATATATGAGTACATTATGAAGGTAAGGCTTGTTAAGATGGTGAATTATGACCTGCACAATATCAAATCAACTTTTCGCAAGCAAACCCAATGAAATTGTTATGCCATACTAAGTGGCGTTTATCTGCAGTTGCACCAGAATCTTGTAAGAAAAACTGCACTTATTTCACTATATATTTCATTGCATACTTCAGTGCAAACATTAAGATAGTGTCAAGTAAAAAAGGGGCCCCTTTTCAGATGAACTCATACAACGAATGTAAAAGGTTCAATCATGGCGTGCATCTTACCCAGAACATCAGTAGAGATACTTTACTTCATTTTGTTCTGACAAAGTCCAAACTGCATCAATAAGAAAATCAGATATTMTAAGTTATTGCGGAACAGTTTTCTTTACTGAAGAGTAGGCTGAAACAATAGAAAGCAGCACTAACTCATGCTAACCCTTTGTTTAAAGTGGAAAACAGAAAAGGTTGTAAAAAGCTTTATAAAGTAAAGGGAGAAAAGAGGGGCAGATTATACCTAYGATRGTCGATCAATGATTGTTAAAGATTTTTAATAATTGCGCTATTTACGAGATGGGTTTCAAGTGTAATAAGTGTAATGAAGAGCTTCTCAAAATAGTTTCATATTTACMCACAAAAAGCGGTGTTATTTCTTAGTTATCTTAGTTAGAATGATATTTTAATGTTACTAACAAAAGTACGGGCAGAGATTTAGGAATAGAGGCGTCCAAAACGATTGTTTGAAGTGAGTGTATGATACAAGGGCGTTTACATCCCCTGTATGTCGAACCCTTTGACTAATATTCTTTGTCTTGTTCCATAGAAYTTTCCTTACTACAGAGAGAATAAACAAGGCTGGCAGAACTCCATTAGACATAATCTATCTTTAAACAAGTGTTTCGTCAAGGTTCCWCGCCATTACGATGACCCCGGCAAAGGCAACTATTGGATGTTAGATGCTTGCGCAGATGATGTTGTCATTGGTTGTACAACTGGAAAACTAAARAGRAAACATCCTCCTTCGACAAGAAACCGTATTAGTATCAAGAGACAGAGAATCAGCCCAATGCCTCTATCAATGAATGAGCCTTTGTTTGGTTTCTGGAGCCACACCACACCAAACACACCTTACACGAGGATACCATTCCCATCAGTTTACGACACCACTTGTCTTCCTGGACATTCATTCCTACCAACACCACCATCGCCACTCCGCTGTGATTACAACCCGTACTTCAACCATCCCGGGACATCTTTTCAGTCTCATTGCACGGCGGGTTATGGTGCGCCATTAGGGACGCATACAAGACCTTTGCTGCCACAGTACTCGTGGCCCATTACTACAATGCCTGACATATTATCCACCAGAAATAACATGGCCACAACCTCAGCCTTTTCTATCGTACCAAGAATGGGACTAAATACTGGACAAGGATTTTAAAAGATGAAAACAGATTACTTTAGAATCCACAAAAGRTATTTAAAATTAGAGAATCATCGAGATACAACCCGAAAACACTATCATCAATGTTAMAACAAACACAAAAACACGAGACAAAGAATCCTACAAACTCATAGTTTGACGATCAAAAACATTTTTACTTCGATTGTATCGAGGAAAACGTTGGCGTTTCCGTTATAAATAGATTGTAACAAAACTTAGGAATTCGACTCCATGAACACTTAACAAAATTGTCAAACAAGTTAGAATAGAAAAAGGAAAATTTATCATATAAACTGTATTAGAATAGAGTCTTTACCGATAGTCAATAGAATAACATGTGTACATAATAAATTAAATCATTCAAATCTTTGTTCTAATTTATTAATCTTCAGAAGTAATCGGGAAAGAACGACCAGTAGGCGGAGTTAGGGCTGGTGTGGGTTTTTGGTTCTAATAAAACTATGCAGAAGGCTGATCTAACTCATTATGACAAATAACTTCTCAATATAGCCGCAAATTAATCCTAACAAGGAAATAACTACTCTTATAACGAAAAAGGAGGAAAAAACAAGATGACRTAACACAAAAGAATTGGTTTGWGGAGGCGGGCTRGTGTTGAAATCAGTAAACGCGCGTGTCCGTCGACTCKAYACAGATATTGTACATAATAACGTTATAAGGGTTTCATAATGACTTCATATATGAAAACAGGAACAAACATAAACAATATTTCAAAAACAAGACGAGTATCAACAACAAACTAAACAAACAACTTTATGATAAACAAG